ATATATATATATATATATATATATATATATATATATATTTATTAAAATATATGGTAAGTAAAAATTAAAAAAAAAAAATAAAATTACTAAAATATATTATATATATTTAACAATATATAACAATGTTTAATGAAGATGAAACTAGATCGTAAATATATGCGATAGAAAATCGTTTCGTGAAATAGTATCCAGATTCAATTATGTCCGTCAACATTTTCATTTAACATCCATGAGATGAGAGGAAAGATTATTTATACCACATGCTTGGTACAAAACTTTATATTTTTACTTAAGTAATAAAATAAATTGCAGAAGTTAAACTACATTACGTGGGGAAGTTTCTATTTAAAATGATAATTTGCCAATTTAGTAAACTTTGCTAATCATGGATGATGATGCAAAATTATTAAATTGCAACATTGCAAAAATTGACCAATGATAAAAATAAAGTAAATATCAGAAAAATCATTATAAACAATGTCTCTTGAAAAATCATTATAAATCATTATAAACATCATATCATTATAAACAGTGATAGTAAAAATAGTATCTATTATTATTTTGCAATGTTACAAGTTGTAATCAAGTTTGCATTAATTACTCATTTTTAAATGCAAAGAACTGATTGCTTCAAATATGAATATTTAGCGATATATACTTTAAGATATAATTGCGTGCTTCCTTATCTATGTTCTTAGACTACTGATATTCTGAGAATATGAATAAGGCATTTGGTTACGTCTCTACACTTTGAATGGGGCTCGGAAAATTTCCGTAGATGTGAGTCTCTGAAGGAAAAGTAAAATTAGAAAAATACATTACTATTTTTAAAAAGAAGTATAACAATTTTTATAACAATATAAGCAATTTTAAATAGCAAAAAATAATAATTATAAATTATCAGCGATTCAATGACAGAATTAATAATCATTTATGACATAAATGATTATTAATTCTGTCATTGAAAATCATTGAGGATCACAGTTCAATTGATCCTAAATGAAGCATTTAAATGTAAGATGTGAACAGCGAAAGATTATTGCCCCAATCAAACCTTCTGACAATAAAAAGAATATAAAATCAATCGCGAATGAATTATCGATCGTATAAATTGATCGAATTCGTCACGAACCAATTACGATTGTTCGTATTTTATAAGAGATTTCTTGCGGGAGAAACCAGAGTTAAAAATAACTTTGATATTTTAATTAGGATATTGTTGTATATCTTACTTCGCATTGTTACACGATTATTATTATATATATTATAATATATTGAAACTGAACTGCCACATGTACATCACATAACTTAGATTTTTATAAGATACCTTAAAATAAAATACACTTGTATCATCCACCGCTGTATATTCCATGAGTAAAAATTAAGAGAAAAGAAAATGTGTATTGCGTAAGAGTCCGTATGCATCAAGAGATATTTGTACTTTTACATGCATATAAGCATATACGTAATCTCACGAAGCACGCATCTCTTCCGATATTAATTTGCTAATTTATGTATAAGGGTGCCATTCCATACCTGGTTTTGAAACTAGCTAAACTTTTTATAGATAAGCGAGAAACATTTTGGCGAAGCTTATTTATTTTGTGATAATATGAAACTTTTTTATCGTTCCTTTATACAGATTTTTCCTATCTTTTTTTAGACAAATTATAAAAATATAGATATTTATCAGATAATTTTATAAATAGTTTTCACATTAAATAATATGAGATTATCAAGAATTTAGTTAGTTTTAAAGCCGATTCTAATCAGGTCAAATTGTTAACGGCGTTTTATCCTTTAAGTTTAAAAAAATTGCTCAAAAGTGAAATCCGTTCCTAGTGTTCCTAGTTGTTAATATATATATATATATATATACACATACTATATATACACGCACATATGTTATATAGTATTTTTATAAAGTCATGAGCTCTAATCGTTCAGGAAATGGATTGTTTAGGACAATTCGATTGATGCCAAGGAAATAAATCCGTTAACAAAGATATGTAAATCGTGTGTACAATAAACCTCCTATAGATTATATATTAAAAGAAATATATTTACTATTGTGATTGCGTTAATTCCTTCTATCTTTACCCCGTCTTATCCTACTTCGCCAAATATATCAAAAATTGTAAACAGCATTAAATTTTATCAAATCTGAAAATATATAGCTCTTTTTCCTCTTGTAAAATTTCTAATAAATTAAAAAAAATATCAAGATAATTATTATTTTATTATCCAAGTTAATTAAGTTTTACATTTGAATATGTATATCTATATTTAAACGATCTCTCTCTCTCTCTCTCTACTCTAAAACAAAAGTACCAAACGGATAATGTGTTATATACTTAACGACAAGCCTTTGCCAATACATCAAAGTCATGGACTTCTGTCTCCTGGGAGAATGTGAATCATGCCGCCGACACGTAAAATCATGAATTATTACGGCATGACTGCACGCTAGTCTCGTTTGTAATGTGATATTCCACGAAAATAAACATATTTACCGCGAACAAAATGACGCATCGCGTTGCACAGATGTATAACGGTGATACGGCGAAGTGATATGGAAATGCAATGTTGTTTTTCTTCGGCATGATGTGTGTAAAGCGCACTACTTCGGCATACCGTGCTATTTACCTTAGAAAACTGAATGCCGAATGAGGCACGTGGTGGAGTTACGATATTCGCCGAGATGCCGGATGGCATATTTCTGCCATAACGCTTCAAGAAGACAGCTCGCTGCTATGTGAAACAAATCACGAAAAATAACGAAAATTTTGGTATCAAAGACAACACAATGTCCGATAAGTACGAGAACATAAATGCGACTTGTTAGCTTCTATCAATTTTTAATGAATTGTATATTTGTGTCATACAATTTTATTGTATTCTTTATATTTGTAATAAAATATTTATAAATGCAAAAATATTTATTCTCTTATTATTTTCCATGCTCTATAATTCATACTTTTTAAATATTTTTTCATCTTTAATTATCTTCCTTAATTTTTCATCTAAATGAACTAATGATTCGTAAAGTAAAATTCGTAAGTAAAAGAAATTTAGATTGATTTTGTCCTACAACCATAAAGATTGCCACTTGTGGTATCTATGATCGTGGTTTTTTATTATACGAGATCGCCAACTGCACATTGTCGCTAATATATATATATATATATATATA